TGTGTGTCCGTGCTTTCTTGGACACAACAAGTTGTTGGGCCAGCCACTTGTTTAAAAATAGAAAAATAAAAAGAATAGCATGGATTTCGATGTCTCACAATACAAGAAAATTATCTTATATTATATGAGAAATTGATTTTCTTTTTATAATATTAGAGTAGATTAGGGGTGTTCAAAATGTCCAAAAGAACCAAACTGCTCCACATCTTAAAAATCGGTTATTTTTTAAAACCGGTTTCATATGAAACTGCATTTTATTTTATAAACTAGTTATTTACCAAACCATAAAAATAATTGGTTATCCATGGTTATCCATAACCAAACTATTTTACAATTAAAGAACAAATAAATATTATCTTTTATCCTTAACATTAAAATGTGAAAATTACAAAACATATGAATCATTTTTAAATGTGACATTATTAGAAAAGTTTCAAATACTAACAAAATTTATCAAAGAAAAATATTTAGTCGAAAATTTTGACAAAAATCATATTACGTAGAAAATAGAGACGAAAAAAATTTCGTCGAAACTAGAGACGGAACAAGATTTTGTCATAATCACTGACATAAATTTTTGAGGGACCAAATATTTAAGTCAAAATTCTTGATAGAATCAAAATTTCGTCGAAACTTTCAACAGAAACAATTCTGTCAAACTTTTCTACGAAAAATAATTCTGTAAAAAATTTTGACGAAACACATTTTCATAAAAAAAGTTAACAAAAAATAATTTCGTCAAATTTTTTTACGGAAAATATTTCCGTCCAAATTTTCGAAGAAAGATATTTCCAACAAAATTTTTGGCAAAACACATTTACAGCAAAAAATTTGACGAAAAATAGTTTGAAATTTTTTTTTGAAGGAAAATATTACTATAAAAAATTTCGATGGAAATTTTTTTTGTCAAAGTTCTTTACGGAATCTAAATTCCCTCCAATCATTTCCCTCAAATTTTTTGACGATATTTTTTTTTATAAAACATTTTGACGAAAAATATTTTTGTTAAAATTTTTTATCGAAATATTGTTCGTCATAAAATTTGTACGAAAATTTTTCCTAGAAATGTGTTCCATTGAAAATTTTGATGGAAATGTTTTTTATCAAAAAACTTGACGAAAATATTTTTTGTTGAAAACTTTCGAGAGAATTTGAATTCTATAAAGAATTTTGATCAAATTTTTTCTCGTCAAAAGTTTTGGAAGGAAATGTATTTCATGGAAAATTTTGATAGAAATATTTTTCGTAAAAAATTTCGATGAATATGTTTTTTTGTGAAATATTTTGAAGGAAATGTTTTGACGAAATTTATATTCCATAAAAAGATTCGACAAAAAAATTTTCCGTCAAATTTTTGTACAAATATGTTTTTAGTCACAAATTTTGATGGAAATATTTTTCATCAAAAAAATTTGCGAAAAATTATAATGAAAATATTTTTCGTAAAAACAACGTGAGCAATTTTTATACGAATCATTTCGTTCTGAGAGTTCCAAAAAAATGAAGATTCATGCAAGAAATAGTTGGTCAACTACCTATAACTGGGAGTAGGGGTGTTCGCGGTCTGGATTGGATCGGTTTTGGAAGCAAAAATCATCTGATCCAATCCCTTCGGTTTGATCATATAATCATCCATTCGGTTTTGATTTTTTTTCTAATCCGATTCGATCCAATCCAATTTTTTTCGGTTTGGATTGGATCTGTTTTCGGTTTTTTGAAAATCCTAAAATTTATTTCATGATTATTGTGCAAATAACATCTTTTGTATATATTGGCTTTGCAAATTGTTTTTTTTGAAATACAAAAGCATTAGTAAACTATAATATAATTTTTTTAATTTTGGCAATGAGATATGAAGCTCTAAAAAGATAAAATTTTGTTGATGAGATATGACTAGATTTTTTCTTGGGTTAATGGCTCTTGGATTTAGAAATTTTTAGGCTATGATTAGGGAAATACCCAAGTAGGTAGAGGAAAATTAATATATTGGATCATTTGGATTGGATCGGTTTTCATCAACCCATCCAAAAACCGATCCAATCTAATTAAAATTTGCGGTTTTTAATTGGTTTTCGATTTCTCAGTTTTCGGTTTATTCGGTTTTCGATTTTTGGTTCAGTTACCGCGGTTTGAATCGGTTTGGATCAGTTGAGAACACCCCTAACCGGGAGAAACAAACCACTACTTAAAAAATTGATTTTGAATTTGTTAAAAAACCAATTTTGAACTTGATAACCGGTTTATGGTTCATAACCGGTTTTGATTTAAAATCGGCTTAATCCGGTTTTAATTCAAAACCAGTTATAAACCACAAACCGGTTTGGACAAATTCAAAACCGGTTTTTTTTAAAAAAAGTGGTTTGGTTTAAAATCCAAACCGTTTAAAACTGGTTTGGTTTGATTTTTGACAATAACCGAACCGAACCGCTCTATGCACATCCCTAGAGTAGATGGTTAACACTAGGAATTTGGAATATTATTCATTTTTTCATGTACAAAATATTACAGCATACAGACGTATAAGAGTAATTACTTTCCTAAAAAAGGAGCTAAATCTGGGGAAGCAATTAAAAAATAAATCTGTGGCAGCTATAATATTTTATATCATAATCTATTTTATATAAAGAAAAATAATTCTAAAATACTTATATCACTATTCCTCGAGTTGATTCCTGAATAATTATCATTTCGACCTTGTTAAGAGTAGTATAGAATACAGATTATCAGCACGGCCGCACCCATTGAAACTTTAAAAAAAAAAAATATTTAGTATATAACTTTTGAAAAAAATTAAAATTTTGGTGAGACATTAATTTTACAAACGAAAATTGATACTTAATCAATTGATAGAATTTTACAAACTAAGTTTTCGTTATACATATTATTTTATTGGTATTAATTCTATCAAACTTATATGAATATTTGCTCAATAATGAATTAACACATAGGCTTATCCCTTCCAATCTTGCCACTGGATTTTAGTTAGTTTGGAGATACGAAATGAATAAAGGGATTAATGTTTCTTATGTTGTAGAAGCTAATTTTTTTTTCTATACATATACAAGTGTGTGGGCCCCATCTAAGACAATGTGAAGAGAAAAAAGAAAATATATATGAGTTTCATATACTTTTACGTGTATATAGAAAATAAAATTAACTCCAACGATAAAAGAAAAACAAATCCCATAAATAAATAAGAATTAAAATTTGAAGGACCTCCTAAGCCACTTGCCTGACAAAAATTGGCCATCCAAGTCTCTGGGACAACAATTAAAATGCCACACTATTCACAAAATATCACCTGAATGTCATGAATTGAATTTTTTTTTTCCAAAATGCCATATCACCTAACTCGCTACAACACCTGACGAGTTAGGTGTGGACACGTGGCAACAGATTCACGGTCACGTGAATCGCTGCATAGTGCAGCGAGATTACGTGGCAGATACCATCTGCCATAACCTACCACACGGCATAAACGCTAGGTAGCTTGGCATGTTATGTTACGTGTCTGACATGTGTCAAACTCGCTTTGCTGCTTAGCATGTTAAGTGTCAGCCATGTGTCAAACTCGCTATGTTGCTTAGCATGTTACGTGTCAGCCTTTTTGACACGTGACCATACATGCTGTTTTGCATAGCATATTATGTGTAAGTAGTCCAGCAGTCCAGCGTTTTTGGTCTAATTAATTCATCACTCCTAAAAATAATTAATTAACAGTTCTAAAATAATTTAAATTAATAAAAGTAAATTAAACTAAATTAATTAACAGACATAAATTTAATTTAATTCCTTAACACTCCTAAATTAAATTAAATTACTTAATAATTCAAAATAATTTTAACTTGACATAAACTAAATTAAATGAAATCAATTAACACTCCTAAAAATAATTAATTAAAAGTTTTAAAATAGTTTAAATTAATATAAACTAAATAATTAACAGACATAAATTTAATTTAATTTATTAACACTCCTAAATTAAAATAAATTACTTAACAGTTCAAAAAAATTTAACTTAACATAAACTAAATTAAATGAAATTAATTAACACTCCTAAAAATAATTAATTAACAATTTTAAAATAATTTAATTTAATATAGACAAAATTAAACTAAATTAATTAACAAGACACTGGGACAAATAATACTTTCAAATAGATTTTGTTAAAAGTCCAAACTACAAGACATGTTGGCACCAAAAAAATGCGTTTGATTAATTAGAAAAATAATATGTTTAATCATGCGTATAATGGCTAACACTAGGGATATAAATGGGCTAGGCCGGTATACAGGGGCCTACAGCTTAACCTATATTAGGTCAGGCTTAGCCTATTACAAATAGTAAAATAAAATAAACCTAGGCTTTTAAAAAAACCTATTTAGAAAATAGGTAATAGGCTTTTTTGTACATATTAAGTCTATAAGCCTACAGACCGGCCTATATCATATTATTTATTTTAAATAAAATAAATAAAATTATTATTTTTAATAAATTTGAATAATAAAGTAATATTATTTTAGTTATTCTTTTAATTGTTAAATATTTAATAGGCTTAAACAGGCTAACAGGCCTAGGCTTAAGCTTTTATTTTTAAAATATAGGTCAGATGAGACTTATAATTTTGAACCTACACAAGCTATCAGGCCAAACCATACCTAATATTTTTTTACATAGACTTAATCTATTTAAGTCAAAGTCTAGCCTAGCCTAGTCTATTTACACCACTAGCTAATACGATATTATATGTGTATTTACTTGATATTATTTGCACTCCTGTATTATCATGTACAGTAGAAAAACCGCACATAGCATCTAATTCTTCAACCATGAACAAGTTTGATTGGATGCGAAGTTAAGGAAAAAAAAATTTAATTCAAGAGTCAAGTTCATAACAAAGTAGGGATATAATTAAATTTTATGTGGAAACATTGCAAATATTACTCTAACACAAATGCAACCAAGCAATGTGAAATACAAATCTCATCCTTCCTTCCCTTATTTACATTTTTTTATACAATAATAATAAAGAAATTTAAACCTATGACCTCATACAAATTACTCAAACTCTAGTGGCTTATCTTATTTCCATTTTTAAAAGGAGAAAAGCCTGACTGATGCGCTTGCAAGAAGCGTATAATATTCATTCGTACCATGCAACATTGACTTATAAGAAAAGTCACTTGTCAAAAACACAAGGAATTGTATTTACTAAAAGAAAATGAAAGGCAAGTTCATCAAACTTATTGCTTTGAAATTTATAAATTTTCCTTAACTAACATTGGGAGGAAGAAATTCATCTCCCACTCCAAACTATTTCTTTTCCGGCCTTTGATACAGTATCAGATTCAGATTCAAATATGTGAGACTTTTGTTGAAATTTTAAGTTCCCAACTTTGCCCCACCCTATAACTGGTTTGTTTGGAGGTGAAATGATAAATGGATTGATTCCAACTAGATCAGGATAGGGTGAAAACTTGTATGGCAACTTGCTCTCATCCATCTTTCTGAAGGTAATCGAAATCCTGCAAAAGTCAAATATTTAAGAAAACTATGCAGTAAAATAGAAAGAATGTAATACAATGTTTGCTAGATCAAAAAGCACCTTTTTGACTTAACAGATGGAATACAATGTTTAGCAACATCAGCTCCATTGCCATTCAAGATGAACACAGACCTGCATAAACAAAATGATCATTAGAATGTCTAGATAACTAATAAATAGGCAATAAACATGATCAAACAATCACATTACTTGTCCAGAAAAACAAAAACAAAAACAAAAAGAACAGAGGTAATATTTTATCATAAGAGAAGACAAGTGGAACAAAAGGTTACCCGATAGGCAAAGGAATGGAAGCTGGCCCTGAAAACTCCCCTGGAGCAACAACTTGCAAATTTGAACCAAATAGTATTTTACACTCACTCAAGAATGATACAGTAAAAAATGGTCTCACAAAATCGTGGTGGTCAATATGAGGAGGAATGCAGTCCCCTTTATCATATATGTTCACAATGCAACTGTCAGGAATGCATGTGGAAGGAACTATATTCCACCTAACCATTCTCTTTATCATTTGCTTGAACAGAGGTGGTAATGGATCAACCTCTTCATCTCTAAGAATGCCCGGAGGGTTGCCATTTTTGTCCTGAAAGATTTTGCAAAAATATATAACTAAAATATCAAATAAGAATGAAAAAAAGAAGAAGTAAATTACATCATACCACTGCATAATTGTAACAGCAGCCAAATTGTATTGTCACACGTCCTTTACCACGCATCCACTTTCTTGGTTCTGTATAAGTACGTTCTGTAAACAGGAAAGGCTAGTAGATGTAAGAATCAGGTTTTCATAAAACAAATGGCAGAGAGACATTACGGTCATTGATTTTTTGACATGTCATAAATTTAATCTAGCACAAAAAGAAATTAGTTTAAAGAGATTGATTGAACTCAATTTAATTATGCACAGCTAAACTGACAAAATGATTCAGGTTTCTATGCCATATTCATCCAATGTCATGTATAGGACCCAGACATTTCTACACTGGTCGAGAGGAACTGTTTTGGTACATGTACTAGTGGTTAAAGTATACTTTTAGATATGCTAAATGATAGTATCTAATCCCAAAAACAAAGAGTGGCATCATTGCCATGCTCTTGAGGAGAACATGCTAAAAGAGATTGTAATGTGTAAGGTTATGGACCACATGAATTCAGAACCAGTCAATTTGCAAATATAGCAAAGTCGTGAAGGATACTCTGAGAAATGAAGTCATCTATTATGTTCAACAAAAAATAACAAATGCAGTATGTTCATTCATGGCAAGAAAGGAAGAACTGCTATTAGTATTACTCATTCTCCCTCATATACAAATAGCATTTGCCACTTGCAAGTTTTCCAAAACCGACCCATTGTCACTGCATATAAACAAGCACACATATTATAGGAACAACAACGCTGCACACGTTTATTTCCACATTTCATAACTTCCAAGACCAAATGGTTCCTATCAATATTGATTCAAATTTTATTACCATATCAAGCTTGAACTTAAAAAGTGCAACAAACATGTGTATAAATATAAAATATGAAAAAAGGTATATGCTAAAGTTCAAGAATAAATCAAAAGACCGAATCACTAAATTGAAAAACCCAAAAAGAATAGAAAGCTCCACATATACCTCTAAGTTTCCCTTGTTTTCCCCTCCATTCTAATCGGTATATACACTCAACGATTTCGTTCTGCTCCATTGAATTGAAAACCCCAGTGTGAAGTTCAAGACCCTGGAGCACATTTATTTCTCTTCCATTTACCCTTTCAATGCAGGAAAAGTCCTTTTTACTATGAACTTGAGAATATCTGATACACTCCTTTTGGTCCTCTGATAACCCATTTTCAAATGAAGAACCTCCACCAATTCCATCATTTAACAACAACAAATCAGAATCAGAATCAGATTGTTCGGAGCCCTCCAAATATTTAGGTAAATAATCAAAAGTGGATTTGTTATCCCTCATGGATAAAGCAGAAACATGTCTTTGTGAAGAGTTCCTTGGTCTATCTAGTTGATTTCTCAGCCTTCTAGTCAAAGAATCTGGATTTGAAGCATTACCATTCACAGGCATGTCTTCTGCATCTCTAAAAGACTCGAAGCCTTCATCAGAATATGAAGTTTCATCCATCTTTCCTACATTCCAAAGCACTAGATAAATTAATGACCAAAAAGAACCAATATATTGGGATGCATATGCTATGATATTCATTATTAATTTGAAAACACATATGTATAGGGTGAGATTGTGAGAATTACATGGATTTGGATCCTCTATAAAAACAAAAAATCTTAATCACATGATTTTTTTAGATTACTTAAATCCTACTTGAATACAAATTAAATTTTTTACTCAAAAATAATCCTTTAAAATCTTAATTGAATACATCCCTAAATATACTCATGAGTGAAGGCTAAAAGCCAGGATTTGATGAAGAAAAAAAAGGCCTCAACCGAAAATGAAAAAGAGAGAGGAAGAACTGTACTAATCATCATTCTTATCATTGTGACTGATGTACAAAGAAACTAACAAGATTAATGCTACCAAAATTTAAAAGAGAAAAAAAAGAGGATGGATCGAGGACAACAACGAGTCAACCGTTTACACAGAGAAAATGGGATCAGACAGAGGAAAGAGAGAGAAAGAGAATAAATTTAGTTACTTTTGCGAAGGCTTCGAATTCGAGCGTGGAGAAGAGACTCGCAGTGATGGCAAAAGCCATCAGTGAGAAGGTCCAATATCTCCTCCTTTTTCAATGAGCTCAACATCTCCATGAGCATTCCTTGTCTCACCAGAGAAACAGAAAAAAGAAACACAAACACAAACAGGGTTTATATTAAAAAAAAAAAACCGAAACGCACTCTCAATGATTCTTTTTAACCATTCCTATGTAAATTATTTAGTGAAAATTAAATAAAAAATCATTAATAAATTATAAAAACATATTAAAGATTAAGTATATTTATTTCTTTAGATTTCATCTTGGTTTTCTTGGTATTTTTGTTAAATAAAATATTTATATTTTAATAAAAGAACAAATACTTTAATTAAAATACTTAATTATTAATATTGCAAATGCTTGACTTGGGACAAAAGAAAGGTACCTGCTTATCGTTTTCCACCAAGCAACAAATTTAAATATTTTCCAGAAAAAAAATCTAAAAGTTTTAATGATATTTAGAAAATATCTCATATGTTTATATTTTAAATTTAGATAAGATACTAAAAATATTAATTAAAAGATAAAATATCTCATAGCCAATAGTTAAATAACATTAATAATATAAGCTTATCCTTTGTTGTATTTACTCATATTCAAATTTAGTTGGATTTTAAAGATCATAACGTCTTTCCAAAATTAAAGTCAGAGTTGCTTGATTCTAATACATCTTAGGCACTGTAGGTTTGAAAGAATTTCAATAAATCAGTTAGCACATTATTCATAAATATTTAATTTTCTCTAGTTTCTCATTAATAAATATATTAACAATATAAGTTTTAAATAATTAATAATTAATAAAATATTTTCGATTTTTTTATAAGAGGATTTTCTCATCAAATTTTAGTATATAAATTTTGAAAAAAAATAGAGTAAATACATTTTTTAGTCCCTAACAAAAAACACGGTCCCCACTATAGTCCCTTACAAAAATAAATTATTCAATTAGTTCCTAACAAATTCAAAGTGGACCCATTTAGTTGAAATCGTGGTCCCTCACAAATTCAAAAAAGACCCATGTTAGTCGCTCAGAAGGACTAAAATGGGTCCACCTTGAATTTGTTAGGGACTAACTAATTAATTTATTTTTGTAAGGGACTAAAGTGAGGATCGTGTTTTTTTGTTAGGGATCAAAAATGGTCTTTACTCAAAAAAAAATATGACGTGTTAAAATTTTGATAAGAAATTAATTTTACAAACGAAAATTGATACTTGATAGAATATTACAAACTATTTTTCATTAATTTTGATAAGACATTTATGAGTTAATGTTTTTTTATAGTAATTAAAATCATCTCCTATCCACACATAAAAGTATGTGGGCTCGTGTATTTTTCTCTCTTTTCTCTTCACATGAATCTTATATATATTTTTCTATGCGTATATGAGATAAAATTAACATTAAAAACTATATTCCCTTATTTAATATATTGATATTAATTCTATGAAACTTGATATGAATATTTGCTCAATAATGAGTTAAAACATAGGCTTATCCCTTCCAATCTTGCGACTGGATTTTTAGTTAGTTTGGAGATAGGAAATAAATAAATATAAAAAATAAGAATTAAAATTTGAAGGACCTCGTAAGCCACTTGCCCGACAAAAATTGGCCATGCAAGTCTCATGGCATAGGCATAGTGGCAAAGATAAATTCTTGCCCAAAGAGAGAGTTAGATTAGGGGTGTAAATGAGCTGTGTTGGGCTGAGTTTTGACCTTCCTGGTCTAAGTTTATGTAGAAAAAGATTCAGTCTATCTGGTCTACTGGCCTATCAAAGGCTTTATTAATAGGCCAAGTCCGGCCTATTTTAAAAAATAAGAAAGTCCGACGTGGCTTGTGGGCCTACCACTATAGATACTAAGCAAAGAAAATAATTGTATAGAGCAAAGAAAATTTCATTCATGAATGCACTAGTACTTCTCATAAGAAAAAAATAACAAACAAGAAAGAGTCAACATAATACCTCAGCTTTAGAATGTATATCATAGAGGAATATAGTCAAAGAAATGCGGAAAATAAGAAAAATACAATTATTGAGTGCTGAAATAAAGTCTACAAAAGAATGTCATTTATCTAAAAATAAGGGTTGGTATTGGTACTTTGCCATGCCACATAAAATAAATATTATTTTATTATTTTATTTTTAATAAATTAAATAGACTAGCCTACAAGGCTTTGGGCCAGGCTTGACAAAATTGGCCTACGGCCTATTTGTTAAAAAAACTTTTTTAAAAGCCTAAGCCTACTCTATTTTTCTGAAAGGTCGAGCCAAACCAAATTTAATGTAAGCCGAGCTGTAGGCTGGGCTGGACCAACCTAGCCCATTTACAGCCCTAGTTAGGAGCGGAGTTGGTATGAAAGCATGCCAAACATTGGGACAAATTATACTTTCAAATAGATTTGGTTAAAAGTCCAAACCACGAGACATGTTGGAAGCAAAACTATGGCTAAGACGATATTATCTGTGTATTTACTTGATATTATTTGCAATCCTATATTTATCATGTACAGTACAAAAACCGCACATATAATCTAATCCTTTTTCTTTTTTTTTTGGGTAAACAGCATCTAATTCTTCAACCATGAACAACTTTGATTGGATGCGAAGTTAAGGAAAAAAAAAATTCAATTCAATTCACGAGTCAAGTTCATAACAAAGTAGTGGAAACATTGCAAATATTACTCTAACACAAATGCAACCAAGTAATGTGAAATACAAATCTCATCTTTCCTTCCCTTATTTACATTTTTTTACACAATGATAGCACTGAAGTTTAAATCTATGACCTCAGTGCAAATTATTCAAACCCCTTGCCCATTGGACCAATCCACTTATTGCTTTGAAATTTATAAATTTTCCTTAACCAACATAGGGAGGAAGAAATTCATCTCCCACTCCAAACTATTTCTTTTCCGGCCTTTGATACAGTATCAGATTCAGATTCAGATTCAGCTATGTGAGACCTCTGTTGAAATTTTAAGTTCCCAACTTTGCCACACCCTATAACTGGTTTGTTTGGAGGTGAAATGATAAATGGCTTGATTCCAACTAGATCAGGATATGGTGAAAACTTGTATGGCAACTTGCTCTCATCCATCTTTCTAAAGGTAATCGAAATCCTGTAAAAGTCAAATATTTAAGAAAACTATGCAGTAAAATAGAAAGAATGTAATACAATGTTTGCTAGATCAAAAAGCACCTTTTTGACTTAACAGATGGAATACAATGTTTAGCAACATTAGCTCCATTGCCATTCAAGACGAACACAGACCTGCATGAACAAAATGATCATTAGAATGTCTAGATAACAAATAAATAGGCAATAAACATGATCAAAAAACCACATTATTTGACCAGAAACACAAATCTAGGAAAAAAAAAAAAAAGGGTAATTTTTTATCAGAAGAGAAGACAAGAGGAACAAAAGGTTACCCGATAGGCAAAGGAATGGAAGCTGGCCCTGAAAACTCCCCTGGAGCAACAACTTGCAAATTTGAACCTAATAATATTCTACACTCATTCAAGAATGATACAGTAAAAAATGGTCTCACAAAATCGTGGTGGTCAATATGAGGAGGAATGCAGTCCCCTTCATCATATATGTTCACAATGCAACTATCAGGAATGCATGTGGAAGGAACTATATTCCACCTAACCATCCTCTTTATCATTTGCTTGAACAGAGGTGGTAATGGATCAACCTCTTCATCTCTAAGTATGCCTGGAGGGTTGCCATTTTTGTCCTGAAAGAATTTGCAAAAATATATAACTAAAATATCAAATAAGAATGAAAAAAGAAGAAGTAAATTACACCATACCACTGCATAATTGTAACAGCAGCCAAATTGTATTGTCACACGTCCTTTACCACGCATCCACTTTTTTGGTTCTGAATAAGTACGTTCTGTAAACAGGAAAGGCCAGTAGATGTAAGAATCAGGTTTTCATAGAACAAATGGCAGAGAGACATTATGGTCATTGATTTTTTGACATTTCATAAATTTAATCTAGCACAAAAAGCAAATAGTTTAAAGAGATTGATTGAACTCAATTTAATTATGCACAGCTAAACTGACAAATTGGTTCAGGTTTCTATGCCCTATTCATCCAATGTCATATATAGGACCCAGACATTTCTACACTGGTAGAGAGGAACTGTTTTGGTACATGTACTAGTGTTTAAAGTATACTTTTAGATATGCTAAATGATAGTATCCAATCCCAAAAACAATGAGTGGCATCATTGCCATGCTCTTGAGAAGAACATGCTAAAAGAGATTGTAATGTGTAAGGTTATGGACCACATGAATTCAGAACCAGACAATTTGCAAATATAGCAAAGTCGTGAAGGAAAAAAACATTGGTTGCTGTATTCCCTAACTAATTTTCATTGTAACACTCTGAGAAATGAAGTCATCTATTATGTTCAACAAAAAATAACAAATGCAGTATCGTTCATTCATGGCAAGAAAGTGGAAGAACTGCTACTAGTATTACACATTCTCCCTCATATACAATTAGCATTTGCCACTTGCAAGTTTTCCAAAACCGACCCATTGTCACTGCATATAAACAAGCACACATATTATAGGAACAATAACGCTGCACACGTTTATTTCCACATTTCATAACTTCCAAGACCAAATGGTTCCTATCAGTATTAATTCTAATTTTATTACCATATCAAGCTTGAACTTAAAAAGTGCAACAAACATGTGTATAAATATAAAATATGAAAAAAAATAAAAAGAAAAAAAAGGTATATGCAAAAGTTCAAGAATAAATCAAAAGACCGAATCACTAAATTGAAGAATCAAAAAAGAATAGAAAGCTCCACATATACCTCTAAGTTTCCCTTGTTTTCCCCTCCATTCTAATCTGTATATACACTCAACGATTTTGTTCTGCTCCAAAGAATTGAAAACCCCAGTGTGAAGTTCAAGCCCCTGGAGCACATTTATTTCTCTTCCATTTACCCTGTCAATGCAGGAAAAGTCCTTTTTACTATGAACTTGAGAATATCTGATACACTCCTTTTGGTCCTCTGATAACCCATTTTCAGATGAAGAACCACCACCAATTCCATCATTTAACAACAAATCAGAATCAGATTGTTTGCAGCTCTCCAAATATTTAGGTAAATAATCAAAAGTGGATTTGTTATCCCTCATGGATAAATCAGAATCATGTCTTTGTGAAGAGTTCCTTGGTCTATCTAGTTGATTTCTCAGACTTCTAGTCAAAGAATCTGGGTTTGAAGCATTACCATTCACAGGCATGTCTTCTGCATCTCTAAAAGATTCGAAGCCTTCATCAGAATATAAAGTTTCATCCATCTTTCCTACATTCCAAAGCACTTGATAAATTAATGGCCAAAAAGAACCAATATATTGGGATGCATATGCTATGATATTCATTATTAATTTGAAAACACATATGTCTAGGGTGAGATTGTGAGAATGACATTAATTTGGATCCTCTATAAAAAAAAAAAAAAATATCTTAATCACATGACTTTTTTAGATTACTTAAAAATCCTAATTGAATACAAATTAATTTTTTTACTCAAAAACAATCCTTTGAAATCTTAATTGAATACATCCCTAAATATTCTCATGTGTGAAATCTAAAAGCCAGGATTTGAGAAGAAAAAAAAAAAAAAGGCCTCAAGAATTAGATAGAGGAAAGAGAGAGAGAGAATAAATTTAGTTACTTTTGCGAAGGCTTTGAATTCGAGAGTGGAGAAGAGACTCGCAATGATGGCAAAAACCATCAGTGAGAAGGTCCAATATCTCCTCCTTTTTCAATGAGCTCAACATCTCCATGCGCATTCCTTGTCTCACAAGAGAAACAGAAAAAGAAACAGAAACATAAACATAAACAAAAACGAGGTTGACTGACTTCACTTTAAAAGTCTACGTCCACGGACGGGAATATTTAATGTGTTTGCTTCAGTTTCTTCTACTTCAAAACCGAAACACACTCTCAGTGGCCGTTTGGCAGAGGAGAAATATTTTTAAATCCGCGAAATAATTATTACTGAAATGTAGTATAAAATATATTTAGTCTGGAATGTTAGTAAAAGATGTTTGGTATATTAAAATTTTCTCGGGATTTTATGATTTACTTTACTAAGTGTGTGTTTGGTTGGTTGTGAAATATTAGTGGGAAAGTGAGGTTATTTTAAAAAAAATAACCCCACTTTAAATTGTACCAATCTGTTTACTGCTTTTTTAAAGGTTAATTTTGTCCATTAATTGACACCTCAATCTCTAGTTTCCCGGACAACAAAACATTCCATCCAATTTGTGACATTTTACTTTTGGATACTGTGCAACAAATTGCACATAACTTGATTTTCCCCGAAACGTTTGGTGTCTGGAATTTTTTCTTTTTTGCTCTACCAAACATGGATTTGGTATTTATCTAAACGTGCTTTCCCGGGAAATCGAAAATAAACTCAATAACAAACGCCCCCTTAAAGATTATTTTTAGGGTTTTATAAGAGTTATGTTGTAGGAAAAATGAATGTGTAATGTTATAGAGATTCGTTTTGCGTGCCTTAATTTTTTATTTAATTTTTTGTTTGAAAAAGTGTGGGCCCCACAAAATGTTGTGAGTGTAGGAAAGTTTGTTGTGTTATGTTAAAGGATAAAACGAAAACCCTTCTTTTTAACCAACCATACCTAAATTATTTAGTGGAAATTAAATAAAAATTCATTAAATTATTAAAACATATTAAAAATTAAGAATATTTATTTTTTTAGATTTCATCTTGGTTTCTTGGTATTTTTATTAAATAAAATATTAACATTTAATAAAAGAACAAATATTTTAATTAAAAAAAATACTCAATTATTACTATCGAAAATGCTTGACTTGGAACAAAAGAAAGGTACCAACTTATCGTTTTCCACCAACCAACAAATCCATTTTTTTAGTTTTAGTTTGTTTTTGCATTCTTTCTCCTTCACTTTCTCAATAATAGATGATTAAATTTGTTAATGCCAGTTTGTAGGACTTTTTATTTCATATTGGGCGAGTTTAAATAAGTTAACTTAGTTAAGGGGAAAAAAAAAAACGCTTTCATGATATAAATTTTTTAAGAAACTTTTTCAAATTTATTCTTTCAATTTTCAAAAAACAATAAAATTAAATTTTTTTTAAAAACCTTTATCTAGTTTAGAAGATTTTTCAATTTAAAAAAAATACTTTTTTCCTCAAACATGCATTAAATGTAACATGTTTTCATAAATTTAAATAGCTGGAGAAAATGATTTAAGAGACCAGTTCTTATTATATCCGTCCAACAAAACTCAATGAATGTTAACTACTGGGCCTTAAAAATAAAAATGGGCCGTGAACAATGAAGATATAGCCCAATGAATCCAAAAGCAGTGTCTGTGACTGTAACGGGGCACTGCGAGCGAGAGCGAGAGTGAGAGTGAGACGCGCGCGTCACTCGTGCTCTGAAAAAATGGAGATATCATCATCGGTAGTTGCATTTGGTATGGCGTTTCGGCAATCACCACCAATCTCAATTTCATCTTCTGCGTCAACAAGAACCTCCTCTACGGAGTTGTTACCTCACACTCTAACCATCAAACTTCGAAACGCAAGAAAAGCAGCCACACTTGAACTTCACCATGCTTCTGATTTGCCTTCAACTCTTTCAAGGTTTTTCTTCCTTCGTTCTTTCTATATCATTCATTTTCAAATGCAACATTATTATTCACTCTGTATAATTAATAATTATCAGGTTAGGAGAAATGTTGACAGTTAAAGACCTAAATGCAACTTTGCGCCACTTTGGAAATTCAAACAGATTTCACCATGTCTCTCAGGTTAGCAATCTTTACTTGCTCATCGTTTTTCGTAACTTTTTTTTATTTTTTATTTTTTTACGATAATTGCATTTGCAGCTATTTTTATGGATGCAAGAAAGCAACAAGCTTAATGCCTCATCTTATTCCCATTATATGAGGTTCATGGCAAATAAACTTGATGCTGCTAAGATGCTACAACTATACGATAGCATTCAAGATGAATCAGCTAAAAACAATGTCTATATATGTAATTCTGTTCTTGGTTGTCTAATTAAGAAAGGCAAGTTCGATATAGCCATAAAAATGTTTCAGCGGATGAAAGAAGATGGTCTTGTCCCCGATGTTGTTACCTATAGCACGGTATGTCATTCTGAATCTTAAAAGACAGACTTTCGTTGCATCTGTCTATGTTTCTGTCTCTCTCTCTCTCTAAATACAAGAACATATGGTATTCCTTCTTATATTAATTTTTCATGCTTGAAGCTTCAACTTTTAAAAAGAGGGCACTATCAACCACCAAATCTTTTGATATTCTCTGCTTGATTTTCCGCCTAAAACATTGGTGTTTATTCTTTTGGCATGCACAACTAAATATACACCACTATAATAGGATTTAAGTATTCCTTGCTGTCTAATTTTTGTTGTTCTCATCCTTAGCTTCTTGCAGGTTGCAATAAAATAAAAGATGGATATCCTAAGGCGCTAGAGCTAATTCAGGAATTGCAACGTGATAAAACTCAGATGGATGGTGTAATTTATGGGGCAATTCTGGCTGTGTGTGCTTCCAATAGCAAATGGGAAGAAGCAGAAAACTTTTTTAAGCAGATGAAGGATGAAGGTCACTCGCCTAATGTTTATCACTATAGCTCTTTGCTCAATGCTTATTCAGCATGTGGAAACTACAATAAAGCTGATACGTTAATTCAAGATATGAAATCTGAAGGGTTAGTACCTAACAAGGTTTGTTTTCCTTGATCGTAAAACTTATGTATACTCATCTTTTTCAATCTCGTGATTCTTGTTTGGTCTACAAGAATAGGACATATTAACACTCATAGGATGAAATTTATTTGGTCTATGACACTTATATGGATATTAGATTTTGAGCCAAATTGATGCTTCTCTTCTTTTTTGTCTCATTGAAATGCAAAATCATTTGTATGCTTCCTATTTGTTGCTTTATAATATTTTATTGAAGAGCAAGCGTTTACTAAATTTCATTCAAGCTAATACTAAAAAAAAATGCAGGTCTTTTTAACAACCTTACTGAAGGTATATGTTAGGGGAGGTTTGTTTGAGAAGTCAAGAGAATTATTAGCCGAACTGAAAGCTTTGGGCTATGCTGAAGATGAGGTAATAGAAACCTTTAAAAAACAAGGAAAGGCTGTTTGCTTTATTTGTGTCTGAACTCTGAAACATTACAAAATCATTTTATACATATTATTAGCATTATTTATTCTTTATTGATGCCCAATTTTATTTTTTTCATATCATGATTTCTATATCCTTCTTTTAACCTTTCTGTTTTTTCCGTGTCTTCTCTTTTGAATGCTTTATTTGATTAGTTTGAATTTATTTCAGATGCCATACTGTGTGCTCATGGATGGCCTTGCTAAGGCAGGACAAATGCACGAAGCCAAAATAATTTTTGATGATATGATGAAAAACCATGTCAGATCTGGTAGGTTTTATTTTGGAATTTTCTTCAATGAAAATAATGTATTAATCGTCGAATATAAATATGTGGTTGTTCTGAAGGCATTGACCAGTCCCGTGGATTTTCAGGAACCAAAACAACATACAGTACCAAATAATAATTTTCATCAGCCATATATTTGTTTTGGTTACCCAGTTCATCTTTTTCATTGTGATGCAATGAACAAGAAAATTCAATTCCTTTATCCTTCAGCTTTTATTGGTGGTCGAGTATTTTTGATGGATTTTTTTTGCTTCTTTTAGAGTAGAGCTATAGAACCACTCTTGGGTCTTCATTTAACACCTAAAGCTTTTAGTAAAACTGATCCTCGACATAGTTTCAAAACCTCTATATGACCAGTTGGCTAGGGTTTCAACCCTTGCCACCCATATTGTTCATAATTAAGTTGAATTTTCACACAAGGTAAAATGGGTTTGTGCATTGTCCATACTTAAAGCCAAATGCTCTTGTTGAGGGAGCCTGTTAGAGACATAAAACCATGCTTGGGCCTCCACTTATCATCATAAGCTTTTAAAAGAGCTGGTCTTCAACAGCCTTACATGCAATGGAGGAGTTCAATAAGACTTCTGGAAATATGTTCACAAGTTATTCTTCCTGTTTGTATATTTGTTCCTATTATTCCATTTTTTTGAAGTTCTGCTGGAACCTCTGTTCTTGGTACTGATAATATAGAACTTCATTATTCTTGACTGAGCTTTCTGTTTTTCTTTATCGTACTAGTACTAAGTATTAGTTTTAGTAACTCTCCAAGCTGAGATCTTTCACATGGTAGTAACTTACAGATATGGTTCACATGCAGATGGCTATGCTCACAGTATCATGATATCAGCATTTTGCCGAGCCAAGCTTTTTGGGGAGGCAAAGCAGCTGGCCAAGAATTTTGAAACTACCTTTAACAAATATGACTTGGTTATATTGAATACAATGCTCTGTGCTTTCTGCAGAGCAGGTGAAATGGAAAGTGTGATGGAAACACTAAAAAGGATGGATGAATTGGCAATCAGTCCTGATTACCATACCTTCCATATTCTAATAAAATATTTCTGTAGTGAAAAAATGTATCTACTAGCTTATCGAACCATGGAGGACATGCATAGTAAAGGCTATCAACCGGTGGAGGTATGTTGTTTTATCAATGTACTGATCCTAGTATGAAGTCCCTTGAACAATTGAAATTGTCTTCTTCAGTATGTGGCTGCAGGCCCACATATGTTTGCAACCTTGTAGGGGATTCTCATAGCATAGAACCTTGTGTATGTTTCTGCTTTCTACAATTATATATTCTGTAACTTGTAATTTGGGAAAAAAAAATTATTCTTTTATTTTCTTTTTGCCTACAAAGATATTATTGATTTTCTTATTATACAATTGAGCCTCTTACAGTCTTACCCGTTGTAAAAGACTGCTTTCTTGAAAATAAAACGAATGACCCATAAAAGAATGATAGGGAGAAGGAAAAGGATTCTGAATGCGAAGTTGCACTTGCCTGATTAAAATAAGCTGAAAATGCTTCATTTAATAAATCTACCGCAATTGTTTTCCATCTGTTATCAGTTGAGTGAGAAAATAAAAATTTCTAATACCTTCCTCTCTTTGTAGGAGCTCTGTTCCTCTTTAATATTCCACTTAGGTCAGGTAAATGCTCATTCTGAGGCATTTTCTGTTTACAATATGTTGAAATATAGCAAGAGAACAATGTGCAAGGAACTTCATGAGAAGATTCTGCGCATTCTCCTAGCAGGAAAGCTTTTGAAAGATGCATATGTAGTAGTCAAGGTATTCCAAGATTTAGGATTACATAAATCTTAATTTTCTCACAGCACTGCAGTTTTTCTGATGAATCTTATTCTGTTCAGGATAATGCAACATTTATTTCTCGTCCTGCCATAAAAAAATTTGCAAGTGCATTTATGAAGTCGGGTAACATCAACTTGATAAATGATGTTATGAAGGCCCTTCATAATTGTGGCTACAAGATTGATCAGGTATTAAGCTCGGTAGTATATCAATTCGAATACTGTTATTAGAATGACAAGTAATTCATGGCTTAATTTTCTTTATTTATTTATTTTCACAGCCACACCCACACTAATAAACTTCTACAACCAAATATCATGTCATTGCAATGCAAAAACCCATAATTAAACTTAATTGCTTTATAAAAGTTTGAAATTTCTTTTGTTAATCTTGGTTAAATGGATTAAATTTGAATAAAACTAGTTTTAAATTAGAACAATTGATTTAATTTGTGACCAACTGAGTCCAGGATCAAAGATTTTCAAAAAAATGGGAGCTAGGGTTCGGGTTTGTTTCAACTTTTTGCTCCAGAACTAATCATATTCCTTTTTTTCTTCTTGTGCAGGATTTATTTGAGATGGCTGTATCACGCTATTTAGGTCAGCCTGAAAAGAAGGACTTGCTTCTACACTTACTGCAATGGATGCCAGGTCAAGGTTACATGGTTGATTCATCAACAAGGAATCTTATCCTCAAGAATTCACACTTATTTGGTCGGCAGCTCATTGCTGAGGTTTTGTCCAAGCAACAAGTCAAGTCAAAAGCACTAAAGTTGATGCGATAATGCTAGATAACCTTTCTTGCATTTGTGCTGATAATTTTGATGCTCCTTGGTCTTCAAGCTCTATATGGTACCCTGCATCCTACATTGCATTTTTTTCCTTAAATTTTTCAGTTGAGTTGTTGTCAACAACGTGTATACACCTAAATTCTAATGTTGTGGATTGACCAGTGTATATAAACAGATGCAAATGTATATTGTCGAAAAGTTATAATTGATCCTTCAATTTTATGATTTCTGGTCAATAACCTGTCTTGTCTTGCAAAGCGAAACGTTCTCCTTAAAATGTTTATGACTGTTAATCATCATGTCCTAATCTTTTCCCGCATTAACAAGTAGAAAAAAACCACAGCAAAAAAAAAAAAAAAAAGGAAAGGGAAAAAAAGATACCAGTTAATATGCGTTGGCTGGTGGTACCTCTATTACAAACGGTAATTCATATTTTCCTTGCGACGTCTGCTGTTATGTTAGACATAGAAAGGAGCTTGTAATAATGAAAAGGTTGATAATGTTAGCAAGACATACAAGGGGAAAACAAATTATAATAAAATTATGAAGTGCCTAATTTTCATGAAATTAATATATAGAATTTTGAAGAAGACGATGTTTAACTAGAATGAATACCCAGAGCTTTTGTTCATTTACGCTCCAAGGCATGTTATGAATTAAAAATAGTATTTATCAATCTTTAATAATTAATTATAAGAACAAAATATCAAATACTTTTAAATTTCTTTAAGACATTAGATAACTATACTTTCTATTTAACAGTTTCTATTTTTTATTCTTTGACATCAACTTTGAGGCACATATTAATAAAACCCATGATTTAAATGATATGTATAAAGCAGACATAAAGTTAAAATTATTTTGTAATTTATATCCCACAAACTTTTGGAGAAGTTATTTTACAGGAAAAAAACAGAGAAAATGTGATATTTAACTGTAGAGCTGCTAATGCTTCATGAACCTACAACAAGTTCAACAGTCAAATACAGGTATCTCAACTGGATACAAATGGATTCTATCTGACCATGCATTCCTTACATTTGGATCAATATCATGAAGGCATTTCCAGACAGCACTGTTACACTTGAATCCACTTCCAAAGGCAATTTGCCAAACCCTGTCTCCTTTCTTTACTCTTCCTTTTGCCTCCAAATATAATAGCTCATACCACACAGAAGAAGATGAAGTGTTGCCAAATCTGTATAATGCCATCCTTGAGGCTTCTCCATCTTCCTTCTGCAGCTTGAGACTTTCCTCTATAGCATCTATTACTGACTTACCACCTGCATGTATGCAGAAATGCTCAAAAGCCTTCCTGAAATTTGGCACATAGATTTCCTTATTCCCCATTAACCATATTTTCCTGCAAATCACTGACCACCCATAACGTATCTGTTCAGAATATGGCAATACAAGAGGACCTAAGTCTGTTATATTAGTCCTCAAAGCTGAAGCAGCAACATTTAGAAGTGCTCTTGACAGGGAAACACCCACAATCTCATTTTCATCAGGTTCCTGATAAACAGACTCGTATGCTTTGTCATTTGATCCCATGTGGGTTCTCACAAGATGCTGAAGCTTGTACTTGGCCATTCTCTTATCTTGTTTTCTGTTAGATAGTAAAATGGCTGCTCCACCCATCCTAAACAATGCATTGGAAATAAGCTTGGACTTGGCATTACCTATATAGCCATTTGGAGCTACAGCCTCCATGCTTAGAACTAATGCCAATGAGTTTTTGTGAACTCTCAGAAGATCTTTGGCTAAGCTTATTGACAACAATCCAGCACTGCAACCCATTCCACTTAAGCTTACACTCTTTATGTTGCTTCGGAATCCAAACTTGTTAATGATCATTGATGTAATGGAAGGTGTAGGACAGAATAGGCTACAATTTGACACAAGGATGTCAATGCTTTTAGGATGCACATTGTGTTTGGAAAGAAGTTCCTTGACAATAGTGAAAAGAACCAATTCAATTTCTGCTTGTGCATGTTTCAAAGAACCATCTGGTGGCACCTCATGAACTGATTCTGGCATGCAAGCCTCAACTCCAATGCCTGATCTTTCCAATACTTTCAATTCAAAGTCTATGGTTTCTTGGTCAAAGTTGCATAATACAAAGTGTTCAATGAAATGGGAGTAAGGGACCCGCAAATTATCAGGAGGCAAATAACAAACATAGTCAAGAAGGTAGACACTGCTGAATCTGAAACAAAAGCAAAGTGATATGAGAATTAATGCTAGGGCTGCTAAGAATTGTGCTACAGAGATTGAGCCTTCAGATACGACAAATAGTTCAGAGAAAGAAAAATATTTGGATAAAAGAGTTTTCATTGTCATAATAAGCTTAAACTGAACCATTTGAACTTTGGATTTGATTTATTAGTTTAAATGTAAAGAACGAGCTCATTTTGGTGCAAGTAAGAAAGAAGTTTTGAAATGCAACTGCTCTCTCTCTTTCTCATGCAAAGTGCTATACCCTTTGTGTAACCCAAATTTCGCAAAACCAAAAACAAAATTTGCATTTGCAAGTGATAAACAATCATCTCACTTCACTTAAAAGTGGCTTTTATATTTCTTAACACATCCTTCCTTTTACACAAAAGCCTTTTAGACTTGAAATGTGAATATTACAATGGCCTATTTTTTTTTTATTCTATCTTGTGCTGATTTAATTTCACTATAAAGTGAGATAGTGATGATCGAACTCGTGATGTTGTTATCACGAAGGCTCTCATACCATAATATACAATCATCTCATCTAAAAGTTCAAAATCATAAGTAAAGACATGTTGAGATATATAAAAACTATTAAAGTAGCCTCATCCATCAGCTTAAGTTTAAGATTTTATATTTCTCTAACGGCACCCGAACATCGGCATTGCCTGGTGTTGTTGTTCTCCTCTTTTCCCTCTAAATAAATTCATTCTATTGGGAAATTTAACCCAATACGTGGTGGTCACAAAGTTTGTGTGAAATAACCGTATGAACAACTTTCAGTTCTTACCAAGTATTTGTAGCAACTAGGAAATTTGGAACCTGTTTGGTTTACAATATAAAAGAGTCATGTTAAGAGAATTCATTTAAAATCTTGAGGTTGTTTGGGTATTAAGTTTTTTGTGTACAACTGTAAAGACATTTATCAAAAATTTCTGGTGTTGCGTCTTGCCATCACATCTATTGCTAATTAGTTCATGTAAACTGTTTAAATATTAAGTGCATTTTAATCTTGTAAGTAATCTATATATGTTTTGCATATTCCTCTCGGTATCTTTCTTCCTCGCTCTTAAATAGCAACTTCTTCTTTTTTAGTAAAGTACAAGGAGAATGTAAGAGGAGAAACAAAAAGAATGTCATGTTTTATTGTGGGTAATGTGATTTTCCCTTGTGCTATTGCCACTTCAGGAACTGCTAGATTAGTCACATGCTTGCAATTTTATGTTTTCAATCAATTTACTATAAATTAATTTTTTTAAGTATAAGTATGAAATAAATATTAAAGTAAAATGGCAAAATAATGAGAACTTTGTTAACTTCTAACTTATATATTTCGAATTTCATATTTTATACATAGTTAATACAATTTTATATATTTCGATTTTTCGAGTATGAATTTGAATGACTATATAAAGTGTCTCCACTTAAACTAAAAGCAACAAATCCATCTTGTTAGGGTTTATGATTTGATTTGTCATTCATTCTTAAGATAACAACTATTCATTTGTCATGTAACATGACAAATGCATTTCCCTAAAAAAAATAACCAACAACATCTTGAAAAGGAAGGATTCCTTGATTATTTTTGCTGATGGACTAATATTATACCACAATCATATTATATTTTCTTTGATTAAGAGCACACCGATTAGAATTGGCTTCTTAAATTTTGTAATTTTCTTCATTTTATTCTTTAGAGTAACATGGCAACAAATAAAAGGTGAAACAATTTCTCTCTTTTCTTTTGTGTTTTAACTGAGGCTGCAGAGTTACCTTGGGTATACCTAATAAGGTTCACAAAAACGTATTTTTTTAATTTTGAAATATAGAAAGGGATAGGTTATTCTACCTATCATTTTTTCTGGCTACCTTTGCCTACCACCCTTAAACACTGTTAGATCAGAATTTCAACTACATTTTTATTTCTCTCTCCTATTGAAATTCTGATCTAATAGTTTTGAAGAGTGATAGGCAAAAGTAGACAAAAAAAAAAATAGGTAAAATATTTTTGACTTTTTTTGTGACTTCTAATTTTTTAAAAGCAGACATCTAAACGAACTTAAAGTGAGAAGTGCTTTTTTTTTTCTTGAAAAAAACAGCTTTTGAAGAAGCAAAAAAATCATCCAAACGAGTTCTGTAAACGCAGAGTCTAATATATCACTACAACAGTATGAAGGAGGTGAGCAAAATCATAACTGAACAAGAAATAGACAACACCTAAAATTCAGATCTACAATGATCCTCGCTATGTGATAAAGATAAGGAACTATACAAACTATAGGATAATTACAGTTAACGTTATTGTATGAAAGTTAACTTGGTATGGTTTGTTTTACTTGTTCTACAAGCAAGTCTAACAACAATATTCTGTAATCCAGTATAAGCCTTTCTTTTTTGTTCCACGGGAAACTATACAGATATTATTGGGGCTCCACAACCTGCACATTTGTGTAAGAGCAAGCGAGGCTCTCAACATTGGAGTTGCCCTCTTTGACCTTCGTCCAGGAAACCCTCCACGTTTTAAGCAAACTTTGCCTGCATTTAAATTAGTTTTCCAAACAAACAACAAAAAATGATCTTCAAGTTCTCCACTAATGCTACAATAGAAAACAAATAGTAACAGTTTACTTTGATAAATAAATGGGGGTTCCTAAACTAGATGAATGATGAGTAACCTCTTGTTCTTGTTGACCTGATATTGGAAATTTTACAGTAAGGCTGCCAAACTAGCAACTCAGGTTCCCATAATTATTTGGTTAATAATTCAAATATATGAAATCTAACATGTGGTAGTTATATATCGTAGTAAAGGGGGGGAAAAAATAAGGAGGAGGAAATAAATGAAACAAGAACAAGTTTGGCAACGAAGGTTGATTCAAGAGTTTGTAATTCAAATGCAATAAAAGAACTTCAAGAAAGTGTTTGTAATCAAGATATACCGTATAATCAGAGAGAAAAAGAGGAAAAATCTTCAGCAACTAGGTTCCCTTTCTTAAATGTTTACTAATGTTATTTTCTATTTCCAATCTCCATATACATCCCAAGAGCCAAGCTCAGACTTTTCATAAAGCACATAGGACCTAAGCCTAATGCCCTCATTAGAGGCTGTATTCTTGCACAAAAATCAAATTCAGAAAATTTTAAATTCATTAATTAAACACAGTTTAATGTTGCAGACGTGTGTATACCTCTCTGCTTCAACACTTCTCTTTGCAAGCATGAATGTCAAGAAGACAGGAACCATTGCCGCAAACAAATGCTTAAGTGTGTGACCACTGACAATATGATAGGTCCATTTGTAGATCTCTTCATCAGTAGCCTCTAGCACCTTAGCTAGAAGATAAAACCCTGGAATAAATTTATTTAAAATCTAAGCATGGTTGGTGTTTCGAATAAACCTCAAGAGAGAATTATAACATAACACAAATCCAAACCTGCAGCCCAGAGCCAATACGTTGAATGCGTGTACATGGGAGGTAATAAAATGGCCATCAAAGGAATAGCAATACATGGTACAAATTGGATCAGAGCATACGGACGGAGGTCATCAAAGAACCTGGGGCAAAAGGAGGACAAGATCAATTATTGCAAAAGTTTAGAAAACTCAGCTGAATGATCGAGTACTTCACAGTTAACCTCATACGGAAATCACATAAAGGAACAATAACATCAAAAAGGACTAGTCTAACTTTTGGCAATCTAAATTATTCCATGATTTTATCCCTCACAATGAATCTTGTAAATATATATGGCAAAGTATTTGCAGAATTCGCAATTAGTTTTTATCCATATGAAGAACAACTGTCTTCACTTATAGTTCTAAAAGAAGGAATTCCGTCAAAAGAGAAAAAAAATAAGTGAAACAAAAATTAAATCTAAGTCCTTCATCAATGACTGAACTTCCAATAACAATATGAGAAAAGCAAATGAACTATAGTATATAAATAAATACATAAAGCAGGGGGCTTGCCTCCAATACACAATGCTTATTATACCCGCCAAAACTAAAGGTATGATTGAAATCATTCCCTGCTTCTCATCAATCCGCTCAATGATGAAAATCGCCACGATTGATGTGAAAGCAACAGTCATCTGTAATGAGAAACAGTTTGGGAGGCAAGCATTTAGTAGTGGAAATGAACTTCTATAATGAATGAAATGAACTTCCACAGCAGAAACTCACGGGCAATCTATCCCACACAAGGCGAGCATCATCTGGCTTGAGATGATAGTATGAAGATCCAACTGCAACTGCAGCCACACCAACATAGAAGCATGTCCAACCCCATAGTTCACCTTGCAAGCTTTTGTCACACGTATTTACATCAATAACAACAACAATCACATCCAACACAACAGGATCTTCTTTTTCCAAGCAGTAAGAAATTGATTGTCACACAAAATACAGTACCTGAGCTTAAAATAGTTTCCATGATGACAAAGTATAAGTCCAATGAGTCCAATAACCAGAAATGGGAAATTCGATATCACATTAAGTGCATTAGGAATGCCTGCAAATCAACAGTAAAAATTGAAATTAAAAAAAAAAAAAAACCCTCCTCCCAATTCACACCAATTCCTCTAAAATCATATATAGTAAACCCAATTTAACAATTTTCAGGTAACCCACTTCAAAGGAATTCAAAGGGTATAAATAGAAGTGAACAAGAATTCAATGTGAATCATAGTAGTAATTAGAAAGGGTTACCAAAGAACTTGCGCTGGTCGGCAAAATCGTGGTATTCTTGGGACTGAGGAATTGCTGGGGTCACAATCATCAGTACTAGGAAGCAGACAAGTGCTACTACCCATGCATAAACGGTGCGTTTTCTCATTTTTTTCACGCAGAGTAGAAGCAGATCAGAGACGGTGGCGATATCAGCCGTAGGAAGGGGTAAAGAAAAGCCGTGTGCTGTGCTGTGGCTGTTGAATAGGCCCAACGTTTTGTTTCACTCTTTGGCCCAACGTTTTCTCATTTAATTCGTTTTGTCAAATTAAATACAAAATGCCATGGTTCATAAGTTATTTTTAGGGGAACATGTCTCTTATATTATGTAACATAATAAATGATAAAATACGAGATTGTATCACGAATTTTATAGAAAAAAATACAAGAATATTTTCCTTATTTTTAACGGCAAAAAAATTTATTTATTGCAATTTAATAAAATAATTACATATATATGACAGTTTTTGAATTTTTTACGGATCTAATGCACAATGTGACGCCACATTTGGGGCGTCTCTCCCTTAGGGTAAGACACCCAATTGGGGCGTCACATGTGACGCCCAAATGTGGCGTCACATTGTGCAGCCTATTTAATCCTCTCACCCCTCCATTCACTCTTCACACCTCTTCTCTCTCTTCACACCTCTTCTTCTCTCACTCTTCATATCTATTCCCTTTGTATTTGAATTTTATTTCTACTATTTAAGAATGAGCTTACGTCCTGATTTTGTTCGTGTTGTGTTATATTACAATGGTAGGAAGGTAGAAGGTCAACGAGGTGTCATCTTTGAAGGTGAAAAAAGGCCGACACGTATCGAACGCAATGCAACCATTGGCGAACTGCATCAGAAAATTCGACAGAAGCTAAGTCTTCAAGGCAACCAATGTATCACTCAGATCACGACAAGATTATGGCAATGTGATAAATACATTAGTTTGCAAGTGGTTGACGATGAAGACCTGGATATGACAATGAAAGAATTTTTCAACCAGTCAAGGACAGATTTTCTGGAGTTGTATGTCGACATTGCCGCAACCGAGAATGTTCCCTTACTGGTGAGGTCAGTTGATTTAAATTCTGCCCGTCTTCCATCTTTGTCTGCCGCTCATGCGTCTCCAGTTGGTAATTATTATGAGGGAGATGAAAATGATCCGACTTGGGAAATGCACGATGACGACGACGATGATGAAAATATCGCAATGGAAGAACGTCTTCTGGCGGAGGATGCTAGTGCTTCCGAAGGAGATGAAGGTGCCGAAATGGGTGCGTCTCAAATCCCAATATTCCATTAACCAGTGGTCACACAAATGACGCAGTTGCATGACGTTGCGTCTGCCCCATTAAGGATTCATCATGAAGGTAATTGAAATAATGTGTATATAGTTGAGTACATATCTGATTTAATACCTGAATTAGGAAGTTTGTATTAATAAGTTAAAATCTACTGTTGCAGGTGACGAAGTTGTTATTCCTTTTTGGCAAGGAATTCCGCATTATTCTTACATTGATTGGAGTTATCAGAGCGAACAAGAATCTTGCACTGATGGTACGGTCTCAGAATCGGGTTCAATACAAGGTCTGTGGCAACTGGGTGACAATTTATTTGTCAATCAGGAATTTGCAACAAAAAAAGATGTCCAAATGGCACTTAAGCACCTCCTCATTAGGGAGCATCAAGAAGCAATTGTAATTGAGAGCACGCTTGCAAAGTTATCCATGAAATGTTGTGCGTATGATAAGGGTTGCCCGTAGCGCGTTAGGGCCATGAAACCAGTGTTTGGTGAAAATTGGAAGATTACGAGATGGGTGGAAAACACAATTGTTTGAATGAGCACATTTCGCAGGGACATAGACAACTCGATGCAGACGTTATTGCAGATCTCATCATAGGTACGTATTTATTTACCGTAATGACATGTCAACGTTTACGTACTGCTGTGTAATTAAATTTGTGAGCTATTATCGAGTCTGGGTCCTCTTCAATGCAGGAATGATAAAGGAAGAACCATCTGTGTCAATCTCTTTGGTGCAAGAAAGGATAACCGCTAAATATTGCTTTGAAGTTTCCTACAGAAAGGCGTGGTATGCGAAGCAGAAAGCGATCGCAATTATGTACGGTGATTAGGAGGAATCGTACGCTTTTTTGCCAAGGTGGTTCGAATACATGCTGCGCTTTTCTCCAGGTTCATTTTATAATATCCAAACAAATGATCTTTATGCAGAGCAGAGCTTAGTTACTGGAAATAAGGTGTTTCATCGCATATTTTGGACGTTTAGACAGTGTTGTGAGGCGTTAAAATTTGCCAAATCCGTCATTCAAATTAATGGAACACATTTATATGGGAAGTACAAAGGCAAATTGTTGGTGGCCACAGCCCCACAAACAGCGGGCCAATCCTCAGAGGTGGATCCGGTGACGACATCCCCGTCAGTAGGCAACCCCAATATGTCTGCCACATCTTGCAAGGTGATAGTCATCTCACATTGGGTCATGTGGAAAGTATGTGTCTCTGGTCTCCACCTCTCGACCAGAGCACTAGTTAAAGGGGCATCGATCTGTGATAAAATATACAATCAGAGCGTGTTAACGAATAATAACATAAATACAAAACAACGTAAATTGCATACCTGAATATGTCACATCCGGGCAACATGTATGAATCCGGCCTGTGTCAGGTAGTCTGCGACAACCTCTGGGATAGCACCTATAGGTGGCCCCCCAGATGGCTTCCTACGTCTAGTCTTTATTTTCCTTACATGCTCTGTATTCCACACTCGCTGTGAAATATGAGCTTTCTGCGTCCTCTTAAGAAGGACCTCCCATCTGTACGGCCCCGGTATGATGTACATGTTGGGATCGGTAGGCTCTACATCCGATGCAGAACCCGATGAAGATGATGACTCAGCCATTACCCTCAACTATATAATATAAAACAACATTTACATTAATCACATGTAATGCCCCATTTTATTTACAAATTAATTAAGCAATGACATAATTTATTATCAAAAATTATAAGCATATGCGTCATTTTCATTGCTACAATCAAAATTAATGAAATAATGTTAATACGTAGTACAGTAATTTATTTGTAATTAAATAATAAAAATACATCGGACAAAAGTAATATAATACTTACACAATACTTATCCCTAGGTCACTAATAACTTCATAAATATGTACTAATCATCACACCTAAATGACTACAAAATTATGAATAAACTCCCGCATTAATAACATCATACATACAAAATTTACGAAGTCGCTATCACTATTTACTAAATCACTAATTAATACGTTGAACCCTAATGCATAATTAAATATTAATAATATGAACTACGTAACAAAAAAAGGGAAGTATCATTACAACATTCATAGCATTGCACAAAATTTCTAAGTGACTATCCTAATGTTCTCAGTCTATATACGATCAATCCTAACATGCATTACTAACTACCACCGTAATTTAAACGTATACAGAGGAGGTATTAGGTATTACGACCTTACCTAAGTCGGCAGAACTTCGCTAAGAACCGTGGTTAGAGAGAGGTTAGAGAGTGGTGAATGAGTGAAGAGTGAAAAGGAAAGTCAGGGTATTTATAGTATTGCACAATGTGACGCCCAAAAGGGACGTCACATTGTACATTTTGGGCGTCACATTGTACAATATATCTGTAAATACTTCCCAAACTGCAATAAATGCGTAATTATTTAATTAAATTGCAATAAATAATTTATTTTTTTTTGTGCCTATTTTTAACACTCAAAGTCTTGTTAATGGGTCTAACATTACTTCTTTTTTTTCACGTGGTACAACGCACGTGTACCATTGCCATAAAGAGAAGGGAGAGGAGATAGAGGAAGAAGAAAGAGAGAGAAAGAGACTAGGGAATTAATTTTTCTACTATGGAGTCCAGCGGAATTTACCGTCTTATACTAAATAACCAATAGAGAGAAAATTAAATAAGAATTTAACCCAAAAAAAAAATTAAAGAAGAAAATACTAAACTAAAAAAAAAGCCGATTTCGTTATTAAGTTGGCATTCGTGTATTTTTGGCCGAGAGGAACGCACGTAATTGTTTATGAATCAATAAATATAAGTTTTTGCAATTTAATTCGATAAACAAAATGGTTGTGTACTAAGATCGCATTTAAATTGAGGAAGATGTGGTCAGGGGGAACTTCCAACTCGAAGAATGTAAATATATTTTGCAGCTGAAATAAAAAAAAAATTCGGGACGATTTCTCGTGGTCTTGAGAAGAACGTACTTTAAAAAAAGGTGAGGGGGATCTTCAGTAATTTCTTATGATTGTTTTCTAAGTATTAATTATATTAAGGGTTTCAATTTTTACACCCTTCTGTCGATGAATTGAGACAAGGAAATGCTTCAGCCCTCAAAACATCCAATACTCTTCAATCAATTACAGAGCAAGATGTTTAGAAACAGGCAACAAATAAAGAAAACTACCGTGCACAAAACTGAAGAATATATCACATATACTTCCGGAAAAATGTCTAGATTCTCGGTACAAACCTCAATGACACAACTCTCACCCCTCTAAGCCAGTGAAAACAGCACAACAATCAAAATTTCATAATGGAAGAAAGGAAAATAAATATTACTTTAAAAGCTATAACACAAGAAACAATTAAATACTAAAAAACCAAAAAAAGAAGAATAACAGCGTCTCCAATAGAAAAATTGAGAAGGCACTGAAAGGAACAGCAGCAACCTGCAAGAAGAGAAATAATGACCATCATAATAAAAGAAGTTAACTAAACACAAACTACGCTGTGTCCTACCAAACCACTGGCAAAATTTGTCTTACAAGGGAAAATATACTTCGCAAATTTGTTGCTACTAAACATTGATTTATAGAGATCCACCAACGGAATTATGAATATGAAACAACCATTAGTACTTTGAAAAGTCTTCTTAAAGGAAGGGTTTCAGAAATTCCTTCAATATTCAGGATATTGCATAGAAGATCATAGGGACAAAGATCCCTTAAGGTGTTTTGAAGACAATTGATACACAATTTCATGTCAACTAATTGCTAACATTTCTCAAAAGCAGCATACCTGGTAAAGGCAATGATCTTCTGCCAGGGTCAAACAGCTCCACTTAAAATAATATAACAAGATGTTTCTTCAAAAGCATACTTGATAAGTAAAACAAGTAAAAAATTGGATAAAATTTTCAATTTGCTCATTGTTTGTACGATCAACTCCTTGGGGCAAATGCGGATAATGCATTTGCATGTGCAGGTGGGAGACTGCTCAGAAGGGGTTGCATTTGTTGCCCATATAATGAAATTAGATGAGAAAAAGCTCTGCCTACTAGAGCTTTAACTTCAGACGTCTCAACAGGTGATGCCACCACTTGAGCAAAAAGATTAACTAATTCAGGGACTAGGGACAGGATCTGCATTACATTTAGAAATGGACAAACAGAATTAGGATGGAAAATATTACCATTGGGGGAACAAAAAACGAGAAAAAAAACTTCAAAATTCTGAAAATAAACAATTACCTGGGGATTGGATGAGAATACAAGAGTAGAGACACAACTATAGACAGCCAGAGACTCCTCATGGTCTTCTTTTAACGGAAGAACTCTCAAGAAAACAGGAAGAACCTGTAAAAAGCATCCAAGATATATAGAGACAACATCATCATCATCAACAATACCTTTATCCCAAATTAGTTGGGGTCTGCAATCGATGAACTCAAAGAAAAACCAATAAAATATTGAGGGAAATGAAGAACAGGGAAAAAATTAAAATTAAAAATAAAAATAAAAAAGAGAGGGAAAAAGTAAATTAGAAAGTAAGATAAATAAATATGGGGAAAAAGGAATAAAAAGGGTCATCTAGAACATAGGAAAAAACAGGTCTATCCCTCCATAATAGTATTAACAACTTTCCTCCACTCTATCCCAAGGCACACCATCCGCCAATCTATTCCCCACTTCATTACGCCTTGTTTAACTATTTTTCCCCAAGTTTCGACCAACCTCTTCCCTCTATTTGTATCATGCTCTTGGTAACAAATTTTTGTTCATACGAGAGCACCTAGGGGTCTTCGAATAACATGCCCAAATCATCTCTGTTAATAATAGTGTTAGAATAGTGGTGTAAAAGTCCCACATAGTGTGTATCTCTTTGTATTTTTCATTTGGTTTGTTATATAATAGAACCAATGTTGTCTAGTTTAACACAACAAGGATTACAATGATACCTCTTGGTTACTGATATTTAACAATTTCAATCTATGTTTTCTCAACTTTTAGTCAGCGATACTACTTCTATCTTTCATCGAATATCTTCATTTTTCATCTTATTTGTCTTTCTATGACCACACATCCCCCTTAACATCCTTATTTCCGCTACTCCCATTTTATGCTCATCTTACCTATGTGCTAGTCAACATTCAACTCCGTATAACATTGCAAGCCTTACTATTGAATTTTTCTTTTAGCCTCGGAGGGATTTTGTAATCACACAAAAATGCTTACGCACTACGCCATTTCATCGAACATGCTCTAATTCTATGGTTTACATCCTCATAAATCCCTTCACTTTTTTGCAATATTGATCCCTGATATCTAATAGCATCTTTCTTGGATACTTACTATCTGAGCATGCATGGTATTTTGATCTCCATCTCTTGTCATAGCAAACTAACACTTCATATACCTAGTCTTACTCCGACTTAATGTAAATCATTTAAACTACAACATGCTTCTCCACAATTCTAATTTTTTAGAGAATATCAAATAACAAAATATATAGCTATCAAATATTCATAACAAAATTAAACTTGAAGAAATTAGAATTGCAATATACTACTGTTTAAATTTCATTAATAAAAGTATTAATTAGCAAGCACGAGCCATATAAATGAAGTATGAAGTAGGAAATTACCTGATTTAATGGGATAGATTCAGGGTGTACCATAATCATCCTTGCCACAGCACCAGCTGCATTATCCCTCACTGCATCATCAGGCTCTGACTCACCAAACAAGGGATGAAGTCCACGTAATACATTGTCATAGTATCTGGTATTGGATTAAAGAAAATGCAAAACAAGGAAAATGCAAGGTAGAGGGAAAGGATTAAACCCCAGAAACAGCATATACTACTAATATAGACAGACATAATCATACAAATTGTGATCCCATAAGCTAACCCAAAGAAAAACAGAAAGATCATGTACAGCTATCAAATAGGTAACATGATAAAGGATACTTTAAAGTTGAATCACCACCATTTTTACACAACTCTCCAACACAAAATGCGGCATTCCTTCTATTTGTTGCATCAGATGATGCTAGTTCTTTAAGTACCAAGGGCATCACTCGCTGAGAAAAATAATGACCATTTACAAATCAATTACAACTCGAAAATAAAAAATTAAGAAAAAGAGAAACAAAATTACATCCACGTAGCCCGCAATAGGAGAGCCCATGTTCTGAGCAACTTCAGCAAGGCAGGCAACTACCATGGTCCTATCTTGAGGGGGACGGGAAGCTTTCTGCATTTCAAAGTAAGGATATTAGTTTATGATTTATTCCTAAATATAAAACTTACTAGTTGCCAACTCACTGCAAATTTCATTAAAGGTTCGAAAAGCTGTGCAAAGATGGGAGCAAATTGAGCACCCATAGACTTTGCGAATGCAGGGAGAAGATCGGAAACTGCATCCATAAGCACTTCATCATGTTCACTACCATCATCATCAATTTCACTATCCGACTCTATCAGCTGACAAGCAGATTGCTCCCGAAGCAACAATGAAGTTGCATCAACAAGCTGGGGAAAGTCTGATATCAGAGTAAATCGCAAATTAGCATCAGCTCAGCAAATGACTTTAAATGATAGGTCAAATAATTTTATGCTTACA